TCATTTCAATGTAAAACCAACTTAACATCTTCTTCCCTACCCAACAGCAAACAGTCACTTCAATGTAGTTTTTTCTTTCTTCTTCTTCTTCGTCTCCTCCAACTTCAACTTCAAATTCAACTTAGTATTTAGTCAACTTCAACTTCTTCTGTCACGTTAAAAACAGCTGTAAAATTTAAAAACAAAAGAGAAGGAAACATTGAAAAGTCCAACCTACTTTAACTCCTCTTATTGTAACTGTTGGTTGAGTTTGGTCTCATTTTAATTTTAATTTTATGTTATTATTCTTCTAAAGCTGATTGATCAATTTTCTTGAATTCAATATAAAACATGCCGCAGGTCAATATTGTTTTGATGCTTTCTATTTGTTAACCAATTTTCCCCCCATCATTTCGATGTTTCGTATCCTATCACGGTAAGTTTTGATGTTATTAATTAGTTTTTGAATTTTATGAGATATTAATTTTGGGATTGCATAATATCTCAAACGTGTGGTGGTTTCTTAAGCCTCTGGTTTTACTGGAGAATATGTTGATTTAGTACGTAAGTTGCTATCAAGATTTTGTTATATAATCAATCACAAGTAGTAAATCAATGGAAAAAATGAGTGCAGAGAAAAATAAAGTTCAAGTCTTATCTTTTGTTTAATTAGAGTTAGATAGTTTCTTCTTTTTTTGGATTAATCTATTTTGATAGAAGAGAAATGACAGAAAGGTTGCCAGATATGTATGTGACAGTATATGAGTGAATGACAAAGTTAACTATGTTTTAAACCGTCTAACGGTAAACTATCATTCGACATTAGTCAAGGATTACGTCATTGTAGCATGATTTTCTTTTTCTTTTTCTTTTTTTCCTTCTTTTTTCTTTTCCTCTTTCGTATTTGAATCTTACATCAACTTTGACACATTGGCACATAGATAAAGAATAAGTGAGCCACAGCAAGAGAAAAATTTGACTCTTTACCCATAGGGCCTAGCATATGTAGGAAAATGTCTAGTTGGTGTCTATATATTCTTTCTTCTATACTTTTGCTGTTGTGTTTTTCGAAACGTTAGGTATAATGTAGATGTCTCTCAAAATGGATGTTGACCTTCTAGGGGCTCTGCTTACATAGATATGCCGTCTCTATATTAATTAACGATAATTATATTAACACTAAAGTTTTATATAAATGCACCACATTTTAATTGTGTTAAAGATCTTAGTTTTTACTTATTGTCATACTTATGCTTCCCATTTTTTCCCTTGCATTTGCATTCTCAAGCTTAGTACATAGTGTTTCTAGCGTCGATTTTAGTCCAAAAATTCTGTTAGCATACTTTAAAATAAGGAACAAATATTTAACCATATTTTTTATTTTAATTATTAAAAACCCAAAGGACTCTTAACAAAATTTTTGGATGAAAATCGTCACAAGAAACGTGATATTCTAACTAATAGAATGTTGATGATAAGAATGCAATAAAAAGAAGTCGAGAATATAACGCAAAAGTACTAAAAAAAGAAAAATTCTTAAGAGATATAGCTCCTGTTAGAAGTGATTTAAATTTAAGTTAAAGTTAACAATCAATTTTAATTACATATTTATAGGATCCACAACTTTTCAACCATACACTTCGTCAATTTCTATTAAATTCTACTAAAAGTTTAATTTTAATCCCCAACCAATAACGGAATAACATATAGATGCAAAAGGAAAAATGAGAAATATATTTTCATTTTTGACTGATGGAAAAGGTAGTTTTGAAATTAAAGAGGTATAGTTGTTCCTTTGCTGTAATCACATAACAATTTGAAACAACTACCGATCAAGAAAAGAAATTTTAAGGAATGACTATTATTATGATTGCGTGACAAATGAACTCCCTTTCTATCGAATTATCTTATATTTCGAAAGCTTCATAAAATTTAGGATAATTGAGGAGAAGATAGTAAGTTGATTTTTGTATACCTCGGTTTAGTTTCCATGGTCTAGATTTGGTCGGTAGATATGGTTCACCAATTACTTAATTAATTAATTAATTAATTGTTCATTTGACCAGAACCGTTATCGTACACACATGACCACCGACCGGGACCATTCCACCTTTATTCTTCAAACTTGAGTGTTGATTATGAGAAGTCGATGTCATTTATTTTTTTGGCGCTAGAAAAGCCTCTATAGGTGTTGGAATAGATTGGAAAAATTGTAAACACCTTTCTCTAGAGGGTCTAGTTATTACAGATTTTTTGAAAAGTGTTTTTTTTTTAATGTAGTTAAAAATTAGGGAAAATGTTTCGAATTATGTGTGAAATTATTTTATTCTAAAATATTTGAAAAAATGAATTTTAAAGAATTTGTAAAAAACACGTAGCGTAGTAAATAATTTGAATGAAGCTAGATGAATGTGTGGGACCGTTACAAGTGTTGAAATGACAATACTTTATTGGCCAGTTTAATTTGGATTTTGATATGGACGGTACAAATTACACCCCCTCACACAGGGGGGCCCGGGCCAATAAAATAGGGGCGCGAGCCCCCTGTTGTCAAGGGCTATTAGCCACCATGTAAAGGGGGTTGTAGTTCTAGCATTTCCCTTTTAATTTTGATTTTTGTCCAAACTCTAATAAAATGTTGTCTATTCTGAAATTTTGTAACTCCATTTGACAACTACGTCTGTACAAGTATTGTTGAAATATTTTATCATAAAATTTATTGGATGAATGTCTTAGAAGTGCGTTTCTTCCAATGCGATACTTTAATTATCCCTTAGAAGTGTATATTTCTTACATGAACTTGGTCACCATCTTTAAGTAGCAGCATGCATATATAGCAAAAAAGTGTTTTTAGTAAAATTTAAAAAAATACTTGATTCCCTTATGTTGATGATATCCGAATACTTTGTCTTCTGCCCCCATCATTCATTCAGTCAGTGACGGAGTTAGAATTTTCACGTACGATGAGAAAAATATTGAAGGGGCAAATAACAATAAGTTTAAAAGACTTATATCTACGTGGAAATTGTCCAACTCGAAGAAAAAAAGGGAGTAGTAGCAATTGCAATCTCTGTACATGATCAAGGATTAGTTGATGGCAAAAATAAATAAATAAAGGTAAAAATGATAGCGACTTAGAGTGAATGGAAAAGATGAAAAGAGATTATCATACTCTTCATGAAAATTTTGGTTTGTTTGCTTATAGATGAACTTGTATTTGGCATGTAATAGTGGCACGTGCATGACCTCTCTTGTTGGTTTTAAAGTAGCGTGTTTATCTTGCTACTTGTGCATGGTTGAAACCTACTTCATTCGAAAATTTTATTTGAGTTCTGCCATTATGTTTTATGCATTTTATATTAGATAAACAATGTCAGAAAGACATGCGAAAGGGCTGCAGCCTACTTATTATACTGTGCGTCTCTATTTCTAAGCAATGTTTATCGATTACATTCAGAGCATATTGGTATATTCTATCACCATTACGATATCGATATGCTTATGGATAAAGTCTTGTAGCTGCCGCTATATAAGCAAAAAGCCACGCAAGGTTAACACTTCTCTTTGTATCGCCTCTTTCACATGTCTCTTCCATGGTGATTAGGTCATTGCCAGTTGAATACCTCGCTCGGAATTCATTTGCTATATATCCGAGTGTTGTATTACCTTTCTGTAGCAGCCTATATACAAGGCATTGGGCATCTGCTACACGTTTCGTCTCCACCAAGTTACACACACTACACTGCACAAAGCGATTGATGTGATAGCTCTGCAGCAACAAGCGCAATCAAATCACAACTTTTCGAACTATTTTTCAGGTCTGCTAACTATAGGGCTATGATGACTATGGATTGACTGGTCCCTCATTAACAGGTAAGCTTTTAAAAAACTTGACATCCACATTTTCGTCTATTTTGTCTTTTTTACACCCAATATACATTTTTATTTGACTTGAGCATTGGGGTGTAAGCGATCGTCGCACCCATCGAAGCTACAATCTGTGCAATCTGACATTATTGTCTAAGTGTTAGATAAACTCGACATCTTAAATTGTTGTCTATGTGTGTAGGTAATATATTCTTGGATGAGAGAGGATCTAAAATATGTTGACAACTGGGGCTCACCAAATCAAAAAGTCAGAGGTATCACATTTTGTCTTTTTTACACCCAATATACATATTATCTGACTTGAGCATTGGGGTGTAAGCGATCATCGCACCCATCGAAGCTACAATATGTGCAATCTTACATTATTGTCTAAGTGTTAGGTAATATATGCTTGTTGGAGCTACAGTTTGTGCAATCTTAAACTGTTGTCTATGTATGTAGGTAATATACTTTTGGATGAGAGAAGATCTAAAATATGTTGACAACTGGGGCTCACCAAATCAAAAAGTCAGCAGGTATCACATTTTGGAGTAATGACATACTCAAATTGCTTAGGAATTTTTTTGTTGAGAAAATATTTTTTACTTTATTCTTAGGCTGGTTCCTCTCTTAGTTAGTGGACAAAGTTTATAATTACTTATAAGTTGATAAAATTTTATTTTTATCTATAAATTTTGAAAGATCCACAACTTTTATCATCGAAGACCCACAACTAACATTGTCTATGGTGTTTAGACATTTGTGCGAGGTCAAACGAAGTTTGGTGTGGAAGCCGGCCTAGTTAGGTAGTGTATAAAGTAAGCAGAACAAAGCCGCAGATCTATCTACAGTAACGTTGAACCGGGTCGGTGGTCAGGTGGCGTTCAGTACAATAATATGTGTTTTAAATGGATACTTATGTAATTTACTTACTTTATTATTATTATTATTATTATTATTATTATTATTATTATTTTATTTTTTAATTTGATAAGATATAATCTGGAACGCTGGTTTTGGTATTTCTTTCAAGTAAAACAGAATACCGCTTTTTTAGGTATGATCCCAAATAATTAGAGTACAACTTGAACTGCACACTGTATAAATCTTCAATTTCAACACATTGAACCCTAAAAACACCAGAAAGGAAGAATTCTTTTCCTTCGACGCCACACTTCACAGCCAGAAATGCTACACAAAAATTACACTGCAATTTCATCATTTGTTGTTGATGGAATTTTCCGTGCACCAAATTTTTTTTCAGTTCTATTTATAAGATATATTTTACGATAATAAAGTTTCGTTAATCATTTTTCTTGCTGTAGCCTTAATTGGACAGTTGGAGCTTACGAATCCATTGACTAAATGCAGATATGTCTTGAGCTCGTGGCACGTGGCGATGTTAATATCATTCAAATCCGGCGAGCTCCGGCTGCTTAAGCGGAGCTCGCATCCGATATCAGCGTAAACCCATTGAGTATCCTCCACAAGTTTTCTAATCCATGTTGAAATTTGAGCCATGTGATGATCGCAATCGTTCGTCATTTGGTCGTTGTTGTCAATGACGAATCCGGGGATTTTTGTTATGAGATCATCGGAATTTACTATACGTAATACTTTTGTGCCTTGTCTATCCAGGTGGCTTCTGAAGCTCCGGTTCCCGACCCGAGGGCCGGCGAAAGATATTACGGAGACGAGGGGGGAGTTCTTGAAGGTTTCCTTGATGTCATAGGCGGCGAGGGTGGCGAGGGAGGCGCCCAGGGAATGGCCGGTGAAGGTGAAACTTATAGGCTCATTGCCATACAGTTTAAGAATTCTTGAAACCTCTTCTCGTACCTGTCTTTTCAGGCTCGGACGATTTCTAATGCTGGAAGTGTACAAACTTAAAAACCCACTTTCCACCATTGGACATGAAAATTCACTTGGCTTGGAATTATCATCGGACAAAGGAGTGAGAGTGGCTCTCAGATTTTCCAGCCATTCCAGGCATGTAGCTGTGCCCCGGAATGCAATTACAACGTCGCGTCGTCCAAGCCTGGAAATCTCTCGACTGTCATGGCACACCGCTGTGTAACCTATCCAACTCGCTTGCATGGCCATCCAACTTGGTGCCTTTTGAATCCAACCCGGTAATTGAATCCCAGAAGTGGCAACTAAATTCTTGGTAACTCTGTAACCCGTCTCTGGGAACCCCGATTCATCTAGTAGCCTTCTTTTTGGATACCGGCACATTGCATAAGAAGAAGAAGAAGGATCAAAATCAAATGATCTATATGCAGCCTCAACGAAATGGCCATATCGAATTATCTCACTGCGTAAATTATGGTCAAGAGGATCGAGCAAACCTTCCCAGTTCTTGATTCCCTGGTAATCCATCCACCTCTCACGGAGTTTTACTGGAGTTGGAGCTCTATACAAAGAATTATTTATATTGGAGTCAACAAAAAGGGATACCGGCACATTGCATAAGAAGAAGAAGAAGGATCAAAATCAAATGATCTATATGCAGCCTCAACGAAATGGCCATATCGAATTATCTCACTGCGTAAATTATGGTCAAGAGGATCGAGCAAACCTTCCCAGTTCTTGATTCCCTGGTAATCCATCCACCTCTCACGGAGTTTTACTGGAGTTGGAGCTCTATACAAAGAATTATTTATATTGGAGTCAACAAAAAGATGTTCAAATTTTTTGAGAGCCTGGACTTTCATGTTGAGAATTTTGTTGCACTTTGTAGGTGGGCATACAATTTTTGGAGTGGCATTTGAGGTGCACGGTTGTCGTACAGTTTTAATGGAGAGACTCATGATTAGTAATGAATGAACTTCGAGAAAAAGGCTCTCAATATGTATATGACTCGATGTGGAGAGTCTTGAATTGGGTTTTATAGGGTTAGAAAAGTGCACAAGTCATTGATTGGATGTGGAGTATGTAGAGAATTGATACTATACTAAATAACAACCTTAAATTATTGTAGCCTTAAAGATATTACTGATACGTTTGGCACGTTGGGGGTTGAATTGTGAAACATATAAGATTGAATAATTTCAAAGAGATTTTGACTAAGATTTTAATTCAATTTTGAACCGACTAAAAATGCAAAACAAATATCTCAGAAAGTATAAAAAGAATATAATTGTTCAAAAGAAAGACGTAATTATGTATGAATTCGGCAGTGGTCATCAGTCGGGACATTACCGTATTGTTTAATGAATAGAAATGCATTCTATTTGTCACCACATGGTGATTGGCATTATTCTTCACGTAGTAAATATCTGTGACTGAAAGGGAGTGGGGAAGAAGGACAAAGGGTTGTATAACAGGAAAACTGGGCAACTGCGAAGTCACGTGTAAGTCTATGGCCTCCAGCTTTTATATTATTTTATTTTATTTTATTTTCCATGCCTTCAAAACATTATTTATCCAAAGTGGTTGGCAATGTCTGGATGACATTTTTTTTTCTCATTTTCGAACTACGCAAATTGGTGATCTTATACGTAAAATGCTGTTGTCCCATCTACGTGAATGTTATTACAAGTGGAGTGGAATTCCATTCTAGCGTTCGTCCGTTTTCTGTTACATTTCGATCTTAAAAATATCGAAAGTGGATGTCTAATTTAAATTCTTGCTTATAGTTCGAAATCATGCTCAATATATTAGCAATACGAGTATATAGAGGAACAATTCATTTTATGTGAAGCAATAATGATATGTCATATTAATTCATTGATAAATAATTGTATAGTGGGTCTCAACATTTGAATTTAATTTGCTACTCATCAATGGATTAATATAACACGTCAACGATATTTAGTATAAGATGAGTATCAGTGCTCGTTAAATCATTCCTCTGAGTGTATATCCCTACATCACCACTCACATTCTTGAGTAACTAATACATACAACTAAAAAAAATAGTAATTTTAGAAGGGAATAAGAAGAATTACCATAACAAAAAATCTTAATGCAACGTGTCAATAAAAAACTACCCTAAACAAAATAATTATACAAAGAAACTTTTAAAATTATAATAGAAACTACTAAAACACAAATTGCCAAAAAGATCCCTAGATAATCCCTATGGGGCCACATCGTGGATGTTTTCTTTTTTCTCCTGCCATTAAAATTTCGAAACTCTTTTGAAGAATATTTATAGAATTAAAAACTTTCTTGGTGATTTTATTTACATTTTAAGTCGTTTATCCTATACTCCACTGGATTTTAATAGGTTAATTTCGCATTTGATGATCGAAAACGTGAGTATTTACGGGTTTATTCGAAATTGGATGAATTTTTGGGACATTAAAGAGAAATTAATTGACTCTTATCATTAAATGGAATGATATAATGTAGATGCACGAGGTTGGTTGGGATGAAGAAGCTACAAAACATCACTCTTTTGGAGCACCCTATATTTCTTTACAAAATTAAGCAAATTCAGAAAGGTTAAATCATCCAATTCTGCATCTTGATCTGGAGTTGATATATAATTAAAAGCAATCAATTCAATTGATAGCGTGTATATGTGAATGTGTATGTGTGTTCTATAACTATTTTACTTATGCAACTACATATATTGAAACATATGAAGTTCTTTTTAGGTGTTTTATACATATGTTGGGCTTAACCTACTTTTAGAAATGTATGGTTCCATTTTGGGCATAATATTCATAAAGATAATAAAGAAAACCACCATAAATGTGTAAAGTCGGTTTCTAGATCATTAATCTTGTTTTTTCTTTTTTGGGTTTTGTGTTCATATGTTGGAGGTGTGATTTTACATATTCCCTCAACTATAGTGTACTTTCTTGTTCGTCAAATATATATTTTCAATCAACATTACATCGGGCGAGCGGGTGAGATTTACAATTAGAAAGTATTTTAATTAATTTAACAATCAATTCATCTCTTCATATTTGGTACTATTCAAAAATAATTTAAGTTATCGATAAAGAGAAACTTAGCCCCTATTTGGTGGGATCGAAATAAGATTTTTAATAGATTTTGATAAAAGTTAATAAAATGTGTGGTTAAAAAGTTGTGAAACCTTGTAAAATATGTAGTTAAATTTAATTTTTTACTTTGATTTAAATTAAAATTTATAATTTAGTTTCTACCAAATATGACTTTAATATGTGGCGTAATTTTATATTTGGTTGAGTATGCAATGACAAATATATAAATCCATAAACAAGAAGGAAAAAAAAGGTAATTTGTATACTCAACAATGAGTGCATGCATGTTATAGAAAGGAAGTATCAATTTTATCTACCAATCAGAGAGCCATTTGCCACAGAATAATTCTATATTTCAACAGTATTTATATTTGTAACGGCAAAATACTGTTTCAACAATGATTGGTATTGCCCACTTTTGAGCCGCATATATTATAATATTGATTTGTCAAAATTTTCGAGTTCTGGTATGAATTAATTAAGTAATAATTAACCTCTAATTAAAAATAGCTTCAAATTCTTGGTTAAGTCTTGTGAACTTTAGAACTTTTGATATAAAATGAATAAAGTCTACACATGAGCCGCATGTTGGAACAAGATTTTAATGAATATATATTACTCCTCTTTAACTTAGCAATACGACAATCGACTAGTATATTAATTTCCTTCTATCAAATACTCGTAGTGATTAGTCGACAATTACTACAAAGAGTACTATTAATTGTTATTATAACCAAAGATAAACTAATAAGTATTTTTCTCTCAATCATAAAAATATCTCATGTAGTTATATCTATGTATGTTGTTTGTCCCAAATATGTAATAGAGCTAAGTTGATTTTTGCGCTTTGTATACCTATTTTGGCAAATAGAAATTGCTTTTATTATTTGATTTTTGGCAGTTGGAATGGCAAAGCCGAAACCATTCCTATTTTTCTCTCTCAATAGATGCAACTTTAATTTCTTTTCAAAAAGCTTAAAGGGAAAGCATAAAAGTGACATGTAATGACTTTTAGCATTTTTTGGTAGCAAATTCATGAGATGCAGATAATTTGTTAGAGTTAGGCAGCGGCCAATGATTTTTTATTTTTATTTATTTTTTTTTTATGAAGAAGAATTTATGTTATGTTATACGATTAATGTAAAATTTATATTCAATTATTTAAATTTCTGAGATTTAAAATGATAGACTCAAAAAGTGATATGGTGTGTCTGTATGTATTTATCATATAATTGCAGAAAACGGCAAAATTACTCGTTGAGATCGATTTTTAAATTAGTGATGTCATTTAATTTTACTATAAAAATCTCTATAGTCTAATTTGTTCTGCCGATATCCTTCTTATATCCCGTTGTTGAGACTCTGACATTCAAGCAAATGCAATTAACTCACCTACACGTGACAACATATCATATTATTTATCTTATAATATGCTTCATCAAGATTTTTATTGTACTCAAATCTTTGAGATGAAAAAATAATATTGGGACATACAATATCCTTTTTATCCAGTTGGGCCATCTTTTCCAATCCTGCCATGACAATAAATCAAATTTCAGAGACGGTACTTGTACAAGGGAAATGCGATCCAGAGATGGTAGCACCTGATTGATTGTTTTAATTATTTTTGTCCAAAATTCAACAAAATGTTGCCATGTAACATTTTGTAAACCCATCTGTACAATTTACCCGTACATGTATTATTGCTCATCAATTTTGGTTTAAGTCATAGCCTTCGACAACCTATTTCAAGCATCTTCTGACACGGAGCATCATACACCCCACTTATTTTGGCATGCAAAGCTTGTTAGTTGAAGCAATGAAAAAGAAAAAAAAATATCTCGATGCACAATGAAGAAAAATCTTGTTTAGTATTTATGGTACAATTCGAAGAAAAATCACAATGCACAAAGTGTTGGACTTGGAAGGATTGTAGTGAATGAGATTAATGACGCAATATGAAGTAATGAAAATCGTAACAAGAAACAAGATTTAAAAATAAAGAAATTAACAAAGAGAGTTAATCACAGAAGCATGATGTTTTATTAATTGACAATATGGAGAGAAATACAAAAACTTAGCAATTCTTGCTTGAATAAAACTGAAAGAGAAGACAAATATTTATAAGTACATGACATAGCATAAAGATAGAAATAATGTGGAATAAAGAAATAATATATTTCCATAAAAATCACGTGAAATATAAGGAAACAAATTTTCTCACATCAAAATTAGGAAACAATTTATTTAAAAAAAAAAAAAAACCCCCCTATTGGGTCCAAAAACAATTTATTTAAAAAAAAAAAACCACCCTAATTTGGGTCACAAACCCAACAATCTCTACCTTGACCTAAATTTCGGTGCAACAAACGAAACTCCAAGATTTCAAATCTATCTACATCGAAATAGTCAATTTTTTCAACACAAAATCCAAAACTCTCTAAACCAAATCATAGTACTCTGTAAAGCATCCACA